TATAACATGATGTCATTTTAAAGTTCGAAGAAAGCATTTGGTTAGAGTAGTGTAGAAGCAACCAAAAGATTTTACGATCCATCACAGGTAGTGATTAAGGCTTAATAATATTTGTTGTCAATGAAATTAGCTAACAAGAAGGCTTATTTAATAGAAATTGAAATATGCATAACTAACAGCCATCTATCAAATAAAAAAAAAAAAAATTATCTTTTAATTTTTCTTCAGCTGTTTCTGTTGTTTGAACATCAGCAAATTTTATAAAGAACATAAAAAATCTTTATATATTACAGCAAAGAAACAAACTGCATTTACATTTAAAAAAACCTCACAGCCTGAACAACAAATATGAATTTCATGCATCTTCATCTCATTGATGATTAATTTCAGTTGACATTTTTATGACTTGGCTGACACATTAAACTAGTAGTGTCAATAAATAATTTTATAAATAAATACTTATGCATCTAAGTTCAAAGTATTAAAAGAGATCTGTAAAACTCCAAAACAGGGTTTTAATGTTGAATTTTTTTTTTTTTTTTTTTGTTAACTGTCACATCTAATACACAAAGCTCAAAGTTTGTGTTTGCTTGAAACTCAGAAAATATATTGTTGGTTGTTCATGTGTGTGTGCAAATATTATGGTGAAGCAGTGACATCAAATGAATGCAATTTTGTCATTTATTTCAACTAACATGGATTTTATATCTTGCCTAACTTAAAAGTTCTTGCTTAAAGAAGATAAACTACAAATAGAGCTTAAAAATAATTTTTTTAAAGAACTTATTTATTTTTAATCTGGTCTTATGACTTTCAAGAATAACTGATTGTTTTGTTGATAGCGTATGACCTTTTCTTCCCTGAGTTTAGATCACATGTTTTGACAGGATAAAAAAAAAAATCTAAAATGAATATTTATTTTTGAAATATTTACTTATAATTTTTTAATTTGATTGTGAAATTCCATTAGCTTAATTTTGTCCTTGCCTATTGGGCTTGTTATATATTCATAATGTTACTGCATTAAATAAGTTTATAAAATGGATTATGAGTATTTATTCAACTTGTAAGATCATGTACTTATATATATATATATATATATATATATATATATATATATATATATATATATCATATATATATATATATATACACATTTTAGATTTAAAAAAAATTTCGCTTGAAGATGGAACAGAGCTTGGTACTTTAATTCAATTTAATTCAAATAATTATATTGAAGTTTTCGGCTCTTGTTTTGAAACATGAGAACTCTTATGTAGCGATGGAATCATATTTTTAAATAAATAATTATATTTATGCTCTAATTTTGTATTGAGCACTATTTTAAAAAAAATAACAAAAATACTAAAGAACTTTTGATTATTTACCGAACGAGTTCTTTACTATTCTCCATATATTTTTACACACATTATATATATATATATATATAAATATATACTTCAATACCTGAAAAATGAATTATATTATTTGAAATGAAATTGATTTTAACCTCTGTGTGTGTGTGTGTGTGTGTGTGCGCGAAGGTACAGCCAAAGACTTGCTAAAAAATGAGAATACATAAAAAAAAAATACCCCAAACTTAATAAAAACCAAGTTTGATCATCAAAATCTTTGTTATTATTAAAAGGAAAGAGAGATTTGTAAATATGCCTAAAATGAACCACATTTTTATTGATTTAAAAACTTCCTTTCAATCAATTTAAATGTTTTGAAATGCAAAATATTTTGCTTATTGGAAATATTAATCTATTAGTTTGAAATTAAAACTAAAATAAATGTTTCAAGAAAGATTTTTAAAAAGTCATTCTAAACCAGAGGAAGCACTTTTCTTTGGAGGTGTGTATATATATATATATATATGTGTGTGTGTGTGTGTAGAGATGATGAGATAAAGTAGAAAAGCTTATAAACAAACCATTTTGTCAAGGTTCAGGTCAAAAGGAAAGAAAACTGTATAAGGAAAATGTGTTGGTATTTTTGAGGATAAGAGTGGCAATAAATTAAATTACCTTATCAGATTCAAAAATCACAAACCAGAAAGAGCCATTTGGTGTCTGTTGGATTTTAAATCAGTCCACTCCAAATGGATATGTTTTTTTCTCTACTAGCATGTACACCACATTGTGCTAATCAGTGATATTATGTGATTCTGGTCTTAAGATTTTGTCTGAGAATTGTGAGATTAGCACATGCACAATGCCTTTTCTTCTTAATGGAGCCTTTTCTTTCTAATTGGGATCAGATTTATTACAGTGAACTATCAGTGTGTTTAAAAGGTTAAAGGTTATAAAAGACTTTTATAAAATAAAATCTGGAATAATCATAGGCTTTTATTTAAGAGCTCATGGGATCTGTAGCCCCCACCCACCCAAAGAGAAATACATTGAAAACACTTTCATACTCCTCAAATAACCAAATTATATCCTGCTCAAAAAGAAAACCTTTCAATTTACATCTGACAATTGCTACATGCATGGAATGGTAAGGAACAAATTTTTAGTGTGTTTGTGTGAGTTGTGTATTTGGACAGGAATCCCTCTCTGATAATTGGTTGATTAAAAAAATGACTGACATGGTACTTCTGTTAAGATTTTTATTATTTTTCTTGCACGCTAACAAGAAAAACTAAAGAAAAGTTAACAGAAGTATTGTCAGTCATTTTTAATGAAATAGAGATGGATTGCTGCCCAAATACACAACAATGTGTATACAGATGGCTGCAAAGGTAGGTGTATTGTTGATATTTGTATAATCAATACAATATGCTCTGTGCATGCTTTTTTTTTTTTACTGTATACCTACTTTTGCATCAGTGTGTGTATGTATATATATATATATATATATATATATATAAAATCCATGTAATGGCTCTTTTCTCCATCTATCATCATTGTATATATATTTGTGTATCTATTATAGGCAATATTTGGCAGAGCTATCTTTCAAAATATTAACCTTTAACACATGCTGACAGGATCTTCAACATATGGTATAAATATTTTTTTTGATGGAGACACTTTGGTTGGAAGTTGGCCTTTTGAATTAACACTGAAAAGACTTATCAAAAACAAAATCTTAAAAGGAGAATTTCACAATTGCAGGATTACTAATATAAAACAGATTGTCATCTCTGGAACTGATGTGGCCAATTCCATCTCAATAGAACTGTGAATTTCTGTTACAAAGAGAGATGGTCAGAAGAATGAACTGACATCATTTGTAATAAAATTATGTATTCACTAAACAGAAAACACTGCCTGTTGGTCAAATAGTAAGATAGTGACTGAGAGAAAAAAAAAAAAAAAGACAATAAAAAAAAGATAGAAAAAAAAGAGTGATAGACAAATGAGAAAAGAAAGTAACAATTGGTGGAGGGGAGGGTATGAAGTAGAGAAATAAAATGTGAAGGTAAAGAAATCAGAAGTATGTTAAAAAATGACATTCTCAATTTGCTTTTGTATTTTTATTTTCATCAAATGTTTCTATTCCTAAGTTTAAAATATAATTGAACTAATTTCAGGTCACCTGATTTCAAGGGATAATCAAGAAGAGTTAAGATAAAAAAAACTTACCTAAAAGTAAAAGAAAAATTATTTTTTCATAAGTACAAAAGAAACATTTATTTTTTCTACTTTAAGCATTTCTATATCTCACAAAAATATTTCTGCTTCCACAGGTCAAACATACAATGAAAATTGCTGGTCAAAATTCAGTTAATAACTGTGTCAGGCTACAGATTTACTGATACATTTGTTACAGACTCAAGTTTATAACAAAAAATATCTGAAAATTTCATGGTTTTCTAATTTTGATTTTCTGATGAATCTTCATTAAGTTAATGATTTAATAAGTTCATGGCATATTTTATAGCAATAAAATATCCATAGAAATTCCCCTATCACACCGTTAAATAATTGAGCTTAGCAAATTTAACAAAATATTGTAATAACATTAATAAATATAAATGGTGGTTGTTATTTTAAGAAATAAGGGGGTACAAATGAAAAGATTTGGTATTGACAACTTTTTCCATTTCACTGAAACAGCCTTAAATATTTCTTTCTTCCCTTTTTCCATTTTCTCACTGAAGAAGTAGAGTTTCTTTTCCACTAAATCAAAACAGAGTAGTTTATTATTTATAAGGTATTGGAAGGGGGTAAGGGTCACAGTAACTAGGAGTGACAAGCAGAATTATAATATATTTTTGCTTATACTGAATATTTTTGTTGTCCACAATACTAAAATTTGGGAAAGCATTTGGTCATTTTGCATGAAATTTTAAAAATAAAGGATTCAGTATAAAAAAAAAAATCTTTTTTTTAAAAAAAAATATCTCAATAGGATGAGAATTTGACTTTTTTGCTGAACTATACTAAATTCTAAGTTCATCAGAATCTGTCAGATGAGAAGTTTATATTATTTACAGTTAGAATAATGTCCTCATCTTTGTCCATTGTCTCCTCTGATCTAGGTAACCTTTAGGGAATTTCAAATAAACTAATCCATGGCAGTTGATTGTTCTGGCTCAGATGTTCATTTTTTTTTTTTTTTTTTTTATAGTGCTGTTCAGTTATTGCTCACCTTGTTTCCACTATGTCTGAATCTGTACTTCCCAGCCTTGGAACTGAACTCACAAACTAATATTTTAATCATCTAGGTTAAAAAGTAATACAGACATGGTGTCAGGGAAAACAAGGTTAGCAATAACTCAGCAGTACTCTCTAGACATGGATGGTGAAATGGGAACAAACTACCACTGTAGATTAAATAAAGGACTCAGTTCAAAATTCCCTGAGAGTTACCCAAATCAATAGATACGTGAAGAAGGCTAGAAAGCAAAACAGCCAACAACAAATATATTAAGACACTACTTTGATTGCAAATCATGTAAATAAGTTCATAGCTATCTTTTTAAAATAAGTTAAAATTAACTAGCATTAATGAGAGAATATACACAATTAAGAAAGGGTCTTCTGTATCAAACACCAGTCTCCATGTGATCATAAGAGTTAAGCAACATAGAGCCTGGTTAGTACCAAGATGGGTGACCACTTGGGAATACCAGGTGCTGTGAGCTTGGATGTGCAGCTGGTGCAATGGATAATGACTCAGAATTGTTAATCATTAAGCCAAGTCCCAATTTCCACTTACATGCAAATACTCTTGGAAAAGATATGAAACCATCTTTTCCTCTCCAGCTATGGCGCAGGGTTAATTAGTAAGGTTTATATAACTATTATTATCTTAAAAAAAAAATAAATAAATAAATAAATAAATCTGGCTTTAAATAACCTTCAAAGGGTTCATAAGACATAGAAAATCAATCAATCAATCATTCCATATCATAAGATGATCAGATTTTATCTTTTTCCGATTTTTGTTTCACTTTGAGAAGAAAGTAGATCTGTCAAAACTAACCAGCACAAGTTTACGATCCTTCTTGAAGAAGGACACCATCAATTTCATTTTGGTTGTTATAGTCACAAAATCTTGGTCATTACACTATCAAAAGACTGAAAGATTTTTTTTGTGAGTTCAAAGTTGACAACTTTGTCATCATATTTGTATCAAAACTTTTATAAGTCTAAATGTCTACTCACTATCCAAAATTTTAATAAACCCTATTATCAACTCTATATAAATGTCCACTTTTCATTAAAAAAGAGTAATTTCTGTTATTAATCCCATGTGCACATTGGATTCTCACTTTAAACATGGCCTTGTGCCATATTCTGTGACAGTGGGCATTTGAATAAATACCTATATCCTACATTCCTACTAGATAAGCAACTGTATGTATACAGAAAATTTTAAAACACGTTTAATTCATCATCATCAGTTTCAGCCAAAATCATTTTTTTTTTTTTTTACATCTTATCAAGCTTTTGCAGGTTATTTAAAACTAGAAAATATTTTTAGACTGTAAGAATTTTTTGAAGATAATGATTTAGTGATACAAGTCCTACTAATTAGATCATAGCTGGAGTGGGGAAGAAGAGAACTGTTCCCTGATCGCCAGTTCCAAACTGTTACACCACACACACATCCAAGCTTACAGCACCTGGTATTCTTGAGTGGGTCACATCAAGATACTGACCAGGATTGATGCTGCCTAATTTTTATCATAAAAGAACTGGTGTTTTGACATGATATAGCCATAAGCCTTTTCAGTCATGGAGAAATATCAATTATTGTATTTGACAATTCATAGGACATGTTTTTCAACAATATATTTCTATGGTTGTTCAGATTAAGTATTGGTTCATACAGAGTCAAGGCTACATATTTTCAGCAAGGTGATTTCTTTTTGCTATAATTGCATCAAATTGCTTTCAAGTATGTCTCAATCATAGTTGAAATGGTCCAATTAAGAGAATTTGTTCAGTAGCATTATAAATCAGCCAGAAAGATTTTCACTCAAAAGATTGATGACAGCCAAAATAACAAGTATTTTCCTCCTACTGTTTCCACAAGAAATGTTGCTTGCTAGCAGGAGAAATCCTGACCTAAGTTTAAAATAAATAAAAAAATAAAAGTGTTTGGGCAGAGGAAGTGGTCTCAAGAGAAGGTGAGATGGATTTAGTATCCTGAGGTGTTGATAAAGTGGAGGAAAATTTCATTAAGGCTAATCTGAATCATTTGTCAACAATAGTGCAGTATTTAGCACTTTGTAAATCAGGGTCAGAGAAAACAAAGATAAGGTTATCTAGTCAATAGTTGACAGAGGAAAACATGGATTAAGTTTTTGCTTTAATTATCAAGTTAAAACATTCTTGAAAAGAAGCCACTCTCCACAAACACTCACAGAGCCTCTTTTTTTTTTTTTTTTTTATACAAAGTGCCATATAAAGCAACCAAATGGATGACAAGTTAACGGCTCCTTCACTGTTCAAAGATTAATGAAACAAATCCTCTCTTATTCATGAATTTCTTCCTAGACATTGACTCAGTTATATGCCATGCATGATACACACTTACGCAATCATGTATCTTTCAATACCTAACTGACAAGGCAGATATTTTTCCCACAGTAGGTTGCCATTTCTTTCTGCTGTAGACCAGTTGCCACCCAAGGCTATAGAACCTGGTTTGTCTTGCTATTTACCCATTGCTGGGAGGAGGAGAAGAGGATTCATACATTTCCCAAGGGTATTAACACGTAAGTGAATGTAATGGATTCAGCTGGAATTTGAACTCAGATTCCACAATTCAAGCTGCTATCCATTACTCCACCATGCCTCCTCATGACATTGACTACTTTTCATTATTCTTTTACTTGTTTAATATCTTCATCATTATATTTATTACATTTCAGTTAATACGTTTTTCAGCCTTTCTAAAATTTATATTGCATCAAGTCATCAGTATTATTTTAACTTGTCACTACCTAAAATGGAAACTCTTTGCAGATCTGAAGTGTGAAAGTATTTGCTATATTTATCCAAACCTATTTGTTAGCATCATGTTACGTTGATGCAAAAGTTTCCCTGTGTCAAAATTTGCATTCTTATTTTGAATGATTTGTTTTTTTTAACCTTTTGCAGATTATTTTTAGTATAGTTTAGATAGTTTTAGATTGTAAGAATTTGGGGAAGAAAATAATTATTTATTGATACAAGTCCTACTAATTAATCCATAGATGGGGGAGAAGTAGATTTATACCTTTTCCCAGAGTATTTGGATGTAAATGAATATAACGAACCTGACTGGAATTGGAATTTGGCTCTCTGATTTTCAATTCTGAGCTTTTATTCATTACACCCCCTACACAAGCTTACAGTACCTGGTATTCCCAAGCAGTTACCCATCTAGGTACTGACCAGGCTTGACATTGCTTAACTTGATTGTTTAATGCCAAAATTTAATTTTCTTGGCAACATTAGTAATTTTCTTTACAAAAATGTATTGCTGATATTTTCACTATAAAAATGTATTTTTATACTTTTATAGAGTTTGATCCCAGTTTGGGAGTTAACTATTTGTCCATAGCTGGGACCCTAACAGGTGCTACCACCCCAGGTCAGAGTGTACCTGGGAACAACAGCAATTAAGAAGTGGTTCTGAGCTCTTCAAGACCTCTCGATCAGAGGCCTTGTTGCCAAATGTAGATTATCATCATACCCAGGATGATGACTTGATTGTACAAGAACTGGTTTTTCAACATGGTATAACCATAAGCCCTTTTATTCTTATAATCACATAGCATTATTATTCAGTCATCGAAGAATTATTCCATTTTTTCTAAGATCACACTAAACTTCAGCTACATTGCATATACTACTAATGAGAAAATATAAATTCAGTTTTGATTTTAAGAACTTTTCAGTTTCTCAAACTTGAATTGTGGACTAAAAAATTTTTTCTGGAATCAAAGAAGTGCTAATCTGAAGGAGGCAGATCAGTAGAATGGTAAAGTACTTCCTGTCCCAGTCCCCATAATAACTTATGGCATCAAATTTACAATATGAGAGGTGTCAGCATAAAACAAAAAATTAAATTATATATGTATCTCTGAAGTCATTTTCCTTGACCAACAAAATGCGTTTTTTTCTCTTCCTATGAATCATTAAAAAAAAAAGTCAATTCATCATTATTGTAGCACAGTGCAATAACAATCTCTTCAAATTCCAGCAATTCATAATAAAGAATTCTCTTTGAAACTTTCCAAAATATAACCTCACACTCAGAAGATACTGTTTGGTTTAAAATAGTGAAGGCTATTCTAGATCTAACCAAGATTTTTGTTTCATTGAGATTCTTATAACAAATTCAATTGTATCTTCCTTGTAATTGTTTTATCCAAAAATCACTGTACTGTGAAATAAAAAAAATGGAAGTGTTCAAATGCTGACTGATGTACAAGCTGTTTTTCTTGCTTCTGAATGCAATGCCTCAGATTTGTAAATATTATATACATTTGACTTACAAGCTGAATAAACTTGAAAGTCACTTCTAAGATTTCACTCACATTGTGCAGAAGATAATACTGCAAACATTTGCATCAACCTTTATTTTTTTTTATACCAGACCAAGCTTTATATAAAAAACAAAATACATATCTAATAACTTTACCACACTGAAATCTGAAGATGTTTGGAATGGCAAAAGATGCATTTCTAAAACTAAGCAAAGTATTAAGTAACAGGAAAATTTAATTAGCAACCAAGAAAAGAGTACTGAAATGTTACATAATATCAGTTGCACTATATGTCTGTGAATGCTGGACTTACAGATGAAGAGACTTGAAGCAACAGAAATGTGGTTCTACAGAAGGATGTTGAGAATACTATGGACCAAACATGAACAATGACAAAGTTTTAGAGAAAATGGAAACTAAAAGAACACTTAAACCTAACTTCTGAAAGAGATGGTTGAAATTAGGGCACATAATGAAGAAAGAGGGCTTGGAAAATTTGATATTCACAAGACATATTGAAGGCAAGAAGGACAGAGGAAAACGGTGCATAACCAACCTAACAAGCTTGTATAAATGGATGGCAGAACAGAATTTAGGATAGAGAGCAAAAAGGAAAAATTTAGTAAGAGCTCCAAAAGACAGGAAATTGTCAATAGCCATGATTGTCAACATCCTGAAGGGACATGATACATAGATTAATGTTACCTGATACTGCATTGGCCAAGACTTTTCCCTTTGCTTCAAGAAGTTTAAACATTCTGATGATCATTTATTATTTAAAATATACAAATAAAAATATCAATATTACTTTTGTTTAATATCAAGATTTGCTCTAAATCTTAAGACACTGTAAAGTGGAAAATGGCTTTAAGCTAATAACTAAATAATTTAATTACAAAGTCATTATATAATATCAAGTTTCTATCTCAACTGTCATACCACCAACATCCACCTCGGACATTTTTGGCTCAAATAATAAAATAAGAGGCATTATTTTTTTTTTTTTGCGCAACCCAGATATATTTATGCTATATTTCCTTTTTTATTTATCTAATATAAAAAAAAAAAAAATTAAGAAATCTTAAGATAACAAAAGGAAAATATGTAATTTGTACTGAAAATAATCATGCAATATAAACTGAAATATAAATAAAGTA